AGATCAACTCCGGCCCGCCTCAAGAGAGGTGCCCTGATGGGGGTTTAATACGGGCCAAAGCAAATGGTTTTGTAAACGTGACTAGAAAGGAGGAACTAATACTGCGTCGAAAATTTTCCAAGATTCTTGCCCGTTTTTATTCCACATGTTTTCGAACTGAAAAACATAAAGCATTCGGAACGATCTTATATTTGCAAACGTAAGAAAACGTAGCAGTTGCTATGTACGTGAATCTTCTTTCTGAACAGAAAAAAAGTGGAGCCATGTGATTACGACAATGCGTTTTATCGGCTTAAGGCTGGTATTTCGCTAGTTTTTGAGTCCAACCGCTAATGTGTGACGTCCCGCATTTTCGTCCAACTGCTTTTGCACTTTTCTCACATCTTAGGGAAAGTTTTTCTGCTACACTCGTGATGCAACGTCCCACGTCCGCTTAACAAACATACCTCACAAGGTTCTCATGATACCTTGCCGTCAATGATCGGAATTTCCCGAACCATACAAAATGTCAAATCTTCCTCTGTGCCTGTCAAAATTTTCAAGTTTTTTTGGCTGTGTGGATTACTCTTTCAACATTAACTTTCCTCCACTCGTCCTCCTTCAACCTTTTTCTACCTTACTTCAATCCTATCATTGCCAAGGTTACGGCAGGTGCCAGGTCCATCATCCCACTTAGAGAATGGATTTTCTTTTCATACACCTTTGCAATTTGCACTTTGTTATCCATCGTGTTAATTACAGTGTCTTTCAGAGAGGTACTGCGATCTATATATCGATTTTTGCTTCTTAAAACAAGAAGGGCGGCAGGCGAGAACAGGGGAAGGGGGGGGGGGGAATTGATGTCAAATATGATCCAAGATGCACTTTTCTGACCTCAGTAGGATGGCTTCAAACGTGAATAGATAATATATAACATCACTATAGAAGAACTGAGATTGGGGCTTGATGTACAGTTTTTTCAGGAAATCATAGGTTGTCCCCCAGTTTTTCTCTACCTCTGGTTTATTTTCGGTTGTTCGCGACCTACTTATTTGTAAGTAAATTAGCGCATTGTCTATATCTCAGTCGATAAATGACAATTAGGAGAAAAGTTCAATCCGTTTGGTGTAATTGTTCAATCTGGAGAAGAAAATCTGTTTCACTAGAATTCCCTCCGAAAATCACTAAAGGTATAGTTTGTATAAAATAAATTTGTTTATCATGTGACACAAAAAGACAAAAAAAGTCAGAATACAAAGGAGTGGGAACTCAGTGCAAATTCTTGTTTATGACTGCGAAAAAAGTACATAGTATGAGTTGGTAAAAAAAGTGGGAGAGAGATTGAAATGAAAGAAATTGTAGGTACAATTGATTTGCAAGGACAAAGTACCTAACACTTCTTCCCCCCCCCCCCCTCCCTCCTGCTATCTTCTTATTTCCAACGGTATATCTTCTTCAAACAGTTATTTCAGAACGACTACATAACAGCGCACTTCCTCTTTCCACTCCCTCTCAATTCAGTTCTTCCTCAATCCCCCCCCCCCTTTTCCCTCCTCCTTATACAGAATACCATTTCTTCAAGCGAATTAGACTTCAGAAATTACTTTGGGATTGTTACGATGTTTCCAGCGCTGAAGCGAATTCACAGAACCGAATATCAGAGCAACAGGATTACCAAAAATTCCGGTGGGAGCAAAAATCAATAATTTTGAAAATGGGCCTCTGATATGTTTCTAGGCATAATACCTGAGCCCGGAAGCTGCGCGTGACTCTGGAAAAAATTTCCCTCCATGCAGGGGAGCGATTGTAGCCATCTAATAAAGGGATTACTTATGCGCAATATATTCTAGTGTGTGGGCAGCACTACAATTTGTTGACGCTACTACATATCAAAACATCAGTCTGTTGGTCATGGTTTGTTATATTTGAGCACACTGCCATGACATTTTCGCAACATAAGGTTGCTGAGAAATTGTCATCGCACTGTCCAAACATAGTAACTCACAATTATAGTCCCTCTCTTGAACTCCAGACGGTTCATGGCCCATGTAACACAAGATCTATGCCCTGGTCCGGTGTTCACTCAGCCGAAACTTCCTATTACTCTGCAGGTAGTTTGTGCTCGTTCTCTGTTCAAGTAGTTACTGCGAACATTTCGCTTCGCCCCATTCATTTCACTTTTTTTCCGAGCTGCAGAGCTTTTTTCTTTCCAGGACCAAACTCCGTGCCATCATCTCAAGTGTGTATTGTAGTATTACTTTTGCAAGTCCTTGAAGGCCATAAGGTTCAAATGCAATGTCGCTACCTATGATTTCATGGGGGAAAAGATAAGGAGATTTTTCATGAAAATGTTCCTGGCTTTCCTTCTATTGCGCCGAGGAGAAAGCGTGTACTCTACATGCAATATTCTTTTAAGATATAAGCTACCATTTTATAAGTAGCATCCCCTTAATATCGACTCAAAAGCATCAATTTAAAATGTTTTTTCAGAATGTTTTTAGCATTGTCTATGAATCTGATCTTTTCTTCTTCCTTTTATTTTATTTCTCTTTCCAACTCATAACTGTCCTCTTGCGACAATAGTACTCATTACAGAATTTTCTGTATAATTCCAAGAGATCGAATTTTGAGCTTTGGTCTTGTTCTCGAAACCTCTCAAATTTTCACTTCAAAAACTCTCCGCTGATTTGGAAAATTGCAAGGCTTTATAATTTCTCGTCTTTTTAATACTTTCAAATTCACAGTTCTCATTCTCACTGTCACCTTACTGATTCGTCAAAAAATGCAACAGTCGTACTCCCGGAAGGTTACGTTGCTAGCAAAAAAGGGTTTTGTACGCTTGGGTTCCTTCTTCAAATCTGACTGTGTGAAATTCTTTCTAATTCCTAAATTTATTCATTTTCTTAACCTCATGCATCAATTTCTCTTAGAATGGGACCTTGTAATTGAAGTGACTGATAATTATAATAATTCAAATGTGAAATGATTCAATGCAGACTTATACGTCATTTACAAGGCTAAGAACTTCAAGCTTAGTGTTTACATAAATAATCTGTAAACGCACACCACCTACTTTATATCTAATATGTTGGTGAGTCTAATCTTCGCCCACTGGATCACAGACTACAAATCAACTTTGAAAGGATTCGAGATCAGTTTTCTCCATTTCCTCTGTCTCTTTTTTTCTGAGAAAACTTTTGTGACTTACGAACTTATTTGAATACATAAACTCTGATGAAAGTTTGAAAATGCGCAAATATTCGCACACCATATTTTCTTTGATATTTGCTACTTCTAACCTTTTTCAACTTTCATTTCCTTCGTTGTTAAGAACATCATCCCAAGTAAGCTTACGAAACCTCCATACTATGTCATACTCGTTACTTTTTTTCAAAATAAAAAGTTTTGAGAAGTCAACTTATTCCGATGTTCATTTCGTCTTCATCCATGAAAGGAGATTTGAATTCAAGAGCCTCTAGCAACGTCACAGTAAGGAGACAGCCTGAAATTAATTTCTAAAAAAGAAGATATAATTTTTTCCTATGCTGTGTTATAGTTGTAGTTTTATAAGCTCCAAATTGCACCCTCTACTTGCCAACAAATGGATTTCAGGCTTCTAGAAACTTGAAGCAATTGCAGCTTCTAATTGTGGTTTTTCGTATGGTTCCAAAAGATTTGTTCATCCAGCATAAACTTTGGGCTACATAGTTGAAGCTTTTTCCAAGAAATTATAGAAAGGAATGAATGTAAACTTATGAGTTGGGATGCAACCATGTGATGAATTTGTTACTGTTAGGTTGGTCTCTTTAAGATCTGCATTGATTATGAGAAATTCATTTTGAAAATGTCTGAAAAGCTTTTATTTTATCATATTTATAAAATTTTGTCCCATAATAAAAAACCATCCACTATATGTAGGTGTTCACTATTTTCTTCGAAGCAATCCGAAATATTCAACTCGTGTCATACTGATTCCTGGAAGCACCCCACCAGCCCAATTTTTTCTTCACTCAAAGGTAAAGGGTAGCCAAAACTAAAAATATATTTTATTTAACTCATAGCATTCTTAGCTGCAAGAAAGAAATACAGATCTGGATGTCCTTCTTTATCAGCTTTGTGATATTCATTTAATTATTTTCATTTTGCTGAAACACAAGGATAATTTTTCTCTTTGGGGTGTATTGAATCATATGAAGTCGCACCGGAGAAAACTAATAACAATTAAATTTTGATGCAGGACCTATTATGGATCACCTACGTAGTATATACGAGTAAAATTCTACTTTATTCCAAATTATCCGCACCATTTTCTTTTCGAAAGCTTTCATTAAAGTGATAGTGGAGATCATATGCACTATAAGCTGCATATAGCTGTACAAAGCTGTGCTCTGAGCGAGAAGTAGCTCTTTTCTTCCTTTGATTCCTATAAATCCAGGAAAAAATGTAGCCTAGTTTGCAAATTCTAGCGCTTTCCTCTGCAGCGCTTCCTTTCTTTTCGAGTCCTTTATTATCCGCTCAAGCCATAACTCACACTGCGGTAGGTTGTATTTACCTTTAATCTCTTTCTCCTTGACTACCACAAAGCAGAACGACTTGCTTCCTTCCTATCCTCTTGTCCATCCTTTATTCCCAGTCCTTGCCAAGTGCGAGGTGAAGTGAAAGGTTCAGAAAACTTGATAATTATGTTTGTTTGAATTTGTGTTTAAGTCAAGGGCGATAAAAGTTCACGTAATTGCAAACTCTGAGGACTCCAATTTACAGGAAAAATTACCATCTTGAAATTCAGCTTGTGATTACCTGTCTGCCAGATTGATATAAATCAAAATACTTTGTTTCCTTGATCTTCCCACAATCTGCCTTGCTGTGTCTGTTTGTTCCAATAGTGAATTCAGAAATTATTGAGATGCTATTGTTTCTTATTTCACATTCCTATTCAATTTGAAATTCTGAAATTGTATATGTACCTTTCCGTACGTATCCACATTTAATACATTTTTGAAGCTATTTCGTTTTTTTTTCAGATGTCCGATGTTTCTCGGGCCGTGATCGACACAATATTACGAATAAACACCTTCGCCTATGTAGTCACAATCGTCATAGGTGTAATTGGCAACCTATGGGTGGTATGGAAGGTGCGTTTTTCTACTAAATAATTTTTCCTACTATATACATAATTCTCTCTAATTTGGAGAGATAGTTCTCTCGAGTGTAAAGTAATAGGACTTTCTTGTCTATTTCGATGCTCTTTTGGTCTATAGCAATGCTATTTTAAGTAGACAAGAAATTCAATCTTTACTATCTTATTCCGACTATGAGCGCATTTTGGCATGTTTCCGAGCATAAAACTTTGAGCACAATTTGCAAAGCTAATATCAGGTTGGTATACAAGTTCTGTTGCATCATATTCAAAAATTTATAATTTCCGATTTTCCAAACAAATTGGCTTGCTTCTATTTTTGTTTGGAAGAGTAAAGGAGCATTCTCCTTATGAGAAAGTTTTAAAGGCTTTCTACTAAGCATACATTGCATAAATTGAAGCTGTAGAATAAAATTACTCAAATTTTGTTTAGTCGTTAAAAACCTGAAACTGGTAATAAAAAGTGGAAAGGTCAGTATTATAGGTTTTATTACCTGCCACCTCTAACTAGGCAAAGTTTGCGCTAATTGGATGTTTCTATGAGTAGTTATGATTTTTAAGCAGTCTATACAAAACAGCAAATTTGTTTTTTCCATTTTCTTTCGAAAATCATAACTTCTCATAAAGACGTATAATCAGCACAAACTTCTCCTAGTTAGAAAGGATAGAAAACTTACCATACCGTTCCCTCCTAATTTTATTGCAAGTTTCAAATTTGCGACCGAACTCAGAAGAAAAGTTTGAGCTTCTATATATGCAGGTTATACTCGACAGAAAGCCACTGAATTACTTTCATAAAGAGCATGATTATTTTCAAACAAAATCAAAGCAAGAACTTTTGTTGAGAAATCAGAAAATTTGTGAATTTTTGAGAACAATACAATCTCCATCTCTTTCCTTCTTTATCTATCTATCTTTGTCTAGTTTTTTTTTCTGAAAACGTAATTAGGTGATCAAAAATCATAGCTGAAGATTTTTCACCCCTCCTCAAAAAAGAAGATCCTCATCTTTCCTGGCAAGACCTAACCCCCCCCCCCCCCCCACAAAAAAAAATCCAGATTCTAGGGTCTTATTCTTACTTAGCTGGTAACCCCCACCCCTTCGACACCAAACTGGTTATTAATTGATGCAGATCTTTTCCAGGTTGGAGTAGTGCTTCTGTTCGGCTATCGTTCAGCAGTCCCACGACAAATTCTCTACTGCATTTTCGTTATCTGTTGTGCTGATTTACTCGTATTATGTGATCTTTCTCTTGTTGTACATTTTCAAATATACGAAGAATGGATTTTTGGAGATACAGTCTGTAAGGTGAGTTTATTATATGATACTGCATGAACCACAACTATAAATTAAGAGTTTTGACCTAAACAATCACTAACTTTTCAGATGTTCTACTGCGTCGAAGTGCTCAACAAATTTCTCATCCCTCTAGCTCTAGTACACATCAGCCGATTTTCATATAGGTAAGCTAGTGTTTTTGTATCAGCGCTCGGCGCAAGGTCGATTTTGGATTCGCAAATTTTTACGCAGTCCCCTTTGACCCTAAACCCTAAATACCCTCGAAAGACGGAACGTTGACAAAAAAAACTTCAAAATTTTTTGTTTTTCTCAAAGCCATACCACTTTTGCTTTTTGCTCCAAAAACGATATCCAGCTTTCTTACAAGGGCGTCTTGGTAAATACAGTAACACATAATTGTTCCAGATCAGTTCGTGTCGAAACCGACGCCAAGAAAGACAACCACTGCTTTTGCTTCATTGCCTTGAATATTCTAGCCGTTGCTACCGTATTTATGCTAATGGTAAGTCTATTTTACTGAGTTTTACTGATGTTGTGAAAAATAAGTTTTCAGTTTTTTGTTGGGTACTTTTCAAGCATTAATACCTATTCGATACGGCAGAAAACGATGACCATGTGCAATTTTGGACCACCTCCCTACTGGGGTAAGCATTTGCATTACTACATGTTTGGAAAAATTGAAGATTTGATTTATTCACAAATTTTAGAGACCGCCTTCAATCTGATCGCTTTTTCTGTTGGTTATATATTAACAAGTGCCGCTTACGTATATTTCTATGCCAACGTTCCCATCTTATTGAAACGACGCTGTTCCGTCAATTGTAAGTTGATAAAAATTATACATAAATACCAATTACTTTTTGATTGATCCTCAGGAACTTAGAACAAATTTCTAGGTGGACGCATCAATAGCCAAGCCATTGTCCGCATAAGAAGGACAGTCACAGCGTTTGTCGCTGTCTACCTTACCTGCTGGACGCCGTACTGGGTTCTTTTCTGGCTCCTATCCATGATACAAATCAAGCATAGGTCAGTCAATTGTGATGTATAAGTCAATTATTTCCAACGTATAAATAAAGGCCATGGTGTACTTTAGGCATTATAATACCGCAGGGTAGTTTAATCGATAGAACTCAAGCTTACTTTCTTTGAAATAAAATTCTTATAGTAACTGGAGTAGGAGTAGGGAAGAGCAGGTGGCAATCAGAGTCGATTCCAGATTTTTTTGGATAGAGGGTAGAATTTTCTGAATGAGTGGCGTTATCCGTACTTTCCGAAGGAATATGGTAAACCTGATTATTACAAAAATTCAAATACATGAAATCATCCAACCAAATACATGAAATCATCCACCCCTGCGAGATGAGCAAGTTACTTGCATACATCAATAGCTTGAAAGCTCATCTGCAAAAAAAAATCGTTGTCCATTTGGAAGGGGAGATGAGAACCTGCCGCCGGTAACATAGCTACGATATTGTTCTTCTGCCAATTTCTTTGTCAGACAAGATGAGATCTTGCTGATTATCCCCGGAGGCGAGAATAAGGGCATGCTCTTTTCTGAAAAATTTTAGAAAAATGCTTTGGATACTTAAAAAAAACTTTGGATACTTGAAAAGTTTTTCGTTTTTGCATGATATCCCAAATCATTTGTACTTTTCTTCCCCATTTTCCAACTCCTTTTCTCGCATCAACACTCTCTGGTCATAAATTTCCCTAGAATTCCTACTATTTTTATCCCTCATGTCCCAAAACTCTTATTCTCTATTTGACATCCTAAAAATTATGCTTCCACAAGATAAAGACATTGAAATAACAACATTTCTCCAAATTGTTGCCAAGAAAAAAATACCATCCAAAAAAGTACTGTCGTTTCAGTTGGATGGTCGTCGTGTCTGCGTTCACCCATCTTCTTCCGTATATTGCTTGTACTGCCTATCCAGTCATATTAACAGCTATGAACAAAGAAATTGCTGCTGCACATTCTTCCATTATCGATAGTAAACGGCGTCAGTTCAGCACCATACGAAAAGGAGCCCTTCAGGTGATTACCGTAATCATTTTTGCCGCACATTGCATCAAATACCGTATTTCCAGGCGATGATCGCTCAGACAGGAGTGATCCAATCGTGGATGCGTCTGGGAATGATCCCGAAAGCAAGCACAATTGTGCATATGCCTGAATATTCAACGGACGATGGAGAAATAGCGCAAATATAATTTCGTGTTCCAAAACACTCAACTTTTGTCGTTATAACAAGCTTAGTGTTCGATCTCAAAACATTTACTACGAGTATACCCACGTGTCTTCGCTATTTTTGTTATAAATAAATTATTCGTTAGTGGAGAAACTACAGACTGCAAATGAGCTGCTAGATCGTACTGTATTGCCAGATTCGAAAAATTCGTATGGCCAATATCGATTGGTATCGATTGGTTATTTTCGATACAACGACTTTAGATGCAACTCAGATACAACCCCCTTTGCTTCATTTTTGCTGCCATTTGCACCTTCAAGCTGCAGTGAGAGCATGGGCCACATGATAAACATTACAAGACTATATACAATTTGCTGATGGTCATCGTCGGTAGAGATATGCGCTTTTGGCGACCCTTTCGGGCTCGGTACAATAGATACAATAGCTCTTAGCCTTTTGCCACGAAATCATTACCAAACCCACAAAGTCACAATACTTACAAAAGGAGCAACATTCACGAAAAGGTATACATCAATAAAATAAAATATCAAAGATCAAAGAGAAAATCAAAGAGATGAATGATAGGTGAGGTAGAAATAGCAAAACTATCCGGAGCTAGGAGAATTCCTCCAATCGCTCAGCGCCGCTCTATTTATCTTTTAGAAACAGCAAAACTATCCGGAGCTAGGAGAATTCCTCCAATCGCTCAGCGCCGCTCTATTTATCTTTATCTTTATCTTTATCTATTAAGCTGAACGGTAAAAAATGGGGCAGCTTGGTTTTTTTTTAGATTTTGAGATTTTTTGTTCTCACCCACAAAAAGCAGGCTGCAGCTCAAACATCGCATACATAAACCGACCTTCGCCTATCATCGTGGCAATACATTACCGCTCTCTCTAATAACCGTACGCGTGCCGCCATGAAGAGCTCAGACAGGGTTTTTTGAACATTTCTCAATCTTGCGCTGCTGTACCGTAAGGTCGTAAAGCAAATGACATACCATTCAAAAGAGCTCTTCATGATCTTTCAAAAGTTATGTTAAATACATTTTAAGAAATTTTTATTTCAGAAAAAAGCGAAAAAACTCGAAAAATAGCGGTTTTTTGGCGGAATAAAAAACCAAAAAATCATGCTTTGCCCTATATTTTCATAGAAGATAGATAAAACGTGAGGTAAGCTGCAAATGGATGGATAGAGGTGGAAAGCTCTTTCAGATGGTGCCTAGAAAACATGCGTTTGCCTGCAAAGAATTGAATAGCACGTATCTTTGTTCTCAAAGCTGCTAATGGCCATATCTCCTGACTTTGAAAGTTGAGGCCACCAAGCCTTCGTGAGTTTGGTGACTATCCCACCACCCGTTCCAGCATTGGTAGTTTGGCTGGTCTCACATGTTTCACAGAAACTGCGCAGAAATGCTCAAAGTTCATAATTTCTCGAAGTGAAACTTTGCATTCCAGCGAGTTTAAAAATTATTAATTATGTAAATATATAGGTATTATTTGAAAGAGAATAACATATTCTAACATCTACAAAATTTGAAAGTCTAATCACTTCTCCTTCTTGAGAAACCTCCAGTATTTCGTAAGTGCCCCATTTTTTAATGTTCGCCCTAATACTACACTCGAGGTGCACCAAAAAAATAGTGAGTGGAGACACAGACCAACCAAGCCACACTACATAAGAGAAAGTAATAAATAAGAACATTATTACACTCAAAAACCTCAGATCCATTCAACGATATAAGGCGGAACATATCTATACTCCATAAGGACAGTGTATGTAAATCGGATGTAATCAAAACTCTGATCTGACCGAGAGTGATGGGTCACATCCCATCATACATACCCTGTTATTTTGAGCTTACATGTAATTTCACGAAGAATGTGCGCTTTGCTGGATAGTACATAGGCGATATGGCAAAACCCATGCGTACCTAGGACTTTTTCAACTACCCGCCGCCCCCACTTCTTCCGTGTTTGAGCCGCATGCAATAAATTTGACAATAATGCAAGATCAGAGATATTGACAGCGTAAAAAGAAGACAAAGTAAACGCAGTGAGAATCCATTTTGTAGATCTAGATGGGCATTAGTGAATAGGTATTGCCTTTACACCAAGTATCGAAATAGTCATAGGTATAAATAAACGTTTTGAGTGTAAGCCGAGTCATCTATACAAAAGTGGATGCATAGGTTTTTGAGGATGAAGAGATAGTATATAAAAAGAAGGTGCAGCGTGACTGGCTGGCTAGAAGCGGGTGTTAGTATATAATAACATAAAACACACATAAGGTAGATATGCAGGTCGGGACGGTAGAAAATAAGTCGTGAAACTGAGTAGTCAAGGCGAATTTAAAAAATCCTCGTGACTACCGATAATGGCGAAGTAGTGTCTCATTTTGGATCCAATGAATCAGAAAAGCCAGAATAAATATGCAGAACAAAGTAAGCACCAGAGAATTAGAACCTAAAAGAAGACAGCGAAAATAGTGAAAATAAAATGAATAAAAAAACTCTTTGAACCAAAATTCAAGACGAAGTTCCATAAGCTCAACTCTGAAAAAATTGGAACGAAAAAATTTACGAAGATATAACCCATAGCCAAAAAAGTTCAGAGTAATCAATGTTTGACAGCTTTTTTTGACTGAGCGGCCTGTTTCCGCAGCTAAAAGTTTCGCAGGTAATCTACGAAACCACCTAGCACAGCGATAGTAAAGGCGAAGAGGTCCTGCATAGAAACATTTGGGTCTAGGACTATTGAGAATGAAACCTCCAAGTGCAGCTTACTGCACTGCAGCTTACATTAGACACCAAAAGCTACTGGTCCGGGGTCAATCTCCTTGTGCAAAATTTGAAAGCAGAAGTTGAATCAGCCATAAATCTCCTCCAACTTAGCGATTTCAACCCCGTTATGTTGAGGCGTTCGTTGTAATCAGACAATGTCTTGTAGGAGGTTTTCCGAGATATTCGAGAATTTAACATACGTGTGAAAATTCGTTGGACTTTTTCAACTTTCAAAATATCTTTCTTGAGAGTTGGACTCCAAACCTGAGAGTACTCCAAATGTGGAATTGCATATGCGTTAGTCTAGTCATCAGTCGAGTGGATATTTTGAATGCGAATGATCTAGAGCACGCTTTCTTTACTGCATAACCGATATAATCAGCAATACTTGGTCGAAAATTCTATCAGGACTCCTAGATTAACTACTAAACTCATCATTAGTTCAACTCCTGTCATAATTCATGGCTACAATTCCTTTTATACCATATACCTAGCGTAACCTTGACTGCAACTTCAAAATTTTGCAGAACTGTGGCTGCGCTTGTACTCAAATAATCGCCGGGGCAGGCGGCCATGCGAATTTTGAACAAGCGGGCACCGGAAAAATAGTTTGTTGATTTCATGCGGTCCGCTTGCAGAAATTTGCAAGAATGTTGGCCAATTTTTAAAGGAATGCTCGGAGAAGTATCTTGTCTTTCTATAAACTAGTTGCGGCGCAGTGGCCGCATTTTCGCAGACTTTCCGCAAGAATATGCAGAAATATTGAGGGCCGCATGGTCCTTTGTGAAGGACCGCACAGCCCGTAGGTACCTTCTGCTGAAAGAAGGTACCTCAAACTTGAGTAAGTAAACCATCGATGACACCTCTGCCACATTGAGTCTCAATCTTTACTCGACGTACGCCCGAAACTGCATTAAGAGGGTCCTAGCGCTTGCTGAAACTTAGCCAGCGCTCGTTGAAGGAAATTATTTGCCGAGTGCTTGCAGAAAATGCTGTAGTGTTGCTCGCTGGCAGAATATGTGACCGTTAAGGAAGTACCGCCCGCTGAGGGTTCGGCCACGCCCCAAAGTTCTGCTGACCGCCTGCAGAAAAGCGCGAGTTTGAATACCGCCTGCCCCCGGCGATTAGCTGAGTAGCTTACTTCACGATCGACATGATTGGAAAGTTTGAGGGCGTCATATGCAAAGAGAAAGTAACTTTCTCTTTGCATATGACACGCACCCAAACTTGGTATAAAAGGGAAAATTATAGATCACAAATTTTGGCTGAAACTTAACGGTATAAAAAGTTGGAATAGTGTAACAACAGCATTGTTTGGTAACAAAAATTTGTTCATGTTACAGACCAAGTTTACAATTTGGTCGTGATTTTTCTACAAATTCTACAACCTTTATCAGTGTAGATAATCATGCATATTATATTCTGTATATAATAACTTGTCGTTGTCAAACGTTACTTTCGCCACCATTTGAGCCGCCACATCACCTCTTAACTGTGCTTGATAGTCTATATGGAGGCACCTACTTTCATGTAGGGAACCCTTCATGCTGTATGATACTTTTGTTTACCAGAAGTGAGCATTTAGCTTGCCCAAAACAGTAGCATAGAAGGGCCTGAATGCTGAGTTTAGGTGTTGGCCCGACATATTACTACTTCGCTGTTCCGTATAGTCATTGTTGATAGTGGGCGGCTGCTCCTCTACTATTCAATAAACAGTTGTACAACGTAGTGGTACCAGCTTGCTTCACCCAAACCGACGCAGTGGAGTAAGATTCGAATGGCGCAACAACGAGGATGATTAGATCGTTACTCTGAAGGTTTCGACAAGATAGGTTTACAATTTTTGACTCTATTCTTCGATGCCCTGAACGTATTGAACAAAGGAACATCCTGCTTCTTTTAGTTTAGATCTAACTACTTATGTCAGTATTTCTGCCGTTGGTGTTCAGTAGATATTTACTAATACCATCGAAATCACATTAATTAAATCCTTTTTTGCCAAAATTCAAAAACTCAGTTCGTTTGGAACAAACTCATGGTAGGACCGAAAGGTTCGAGTTTTCCAATCATGTACTAGTGCTTCCTTCAGCATTCTTGGAGAATCGTCCATAGCAGAATGTTGCTGATATCGAAAGAGCCGACCGCTCCGTACGCATTGAAACGCCTGGACGACCAGTCATCCCGCCAAAGGGTCCGGATCGCTTCGCTACGCTTCTTGGCCCCGAGCCAATCGAACGAGGTCGCTTGCGAAAGAGATCAACCGTTCAAAACATTTTTGGGATGTTATTTAGTTAACGAGTCATGTATTTTCTCTCCCCCCCCCCCTATCCCACTCTTCTATGCGCTTTCAGTTCTTGTGATTTCAGTTCTCGTCCCATTCTCCTAGTCGCATCAATGTTCCATAAGCCTATGATCCTATGTCCTCCAGAAAGTTTTCTTCCTGATATTGACTAGAATAATGGTTGGAGTAGTTCGATGACTTTAGAGTCTACCCGTCCGGTTATTTTTGAGTAATATGGATACTTTCCTTTATCAAGCTTGCCTTGAACGATAAGGCTTAGAGTGGACTTTCTTGATTTAAAATAAAATGACTTTATCCACTTGTATCAACTAAATCACATAACGCGTCGTTCGAATTGGTGTTTGCTCATGAGCTAAGTGTTGCCTTTTACACTTCCAGGACTGCAAATCAATTGCGTAAGTGTGAGAGCAATTTAAAGTGGAATGTATAGGACATTATTACACAAGCACAAATGCTGAAGTTGGGTAATATGGAAACAAAGATCCTGGAAGATCAACACCACACGAGGATTTTGGAAGGATTCACGAAGAATTCGTTTTTGCCAAGTAGGTGGACCAACTAAGGAAACTAATCAATCCGGCACAAACGCGATTTGAATGCATCCTCCAGGCGGTCAGGTCAGAAAGTCAAAGCTAACTTCTTAGTTGTTCGTCCTCGCATTCCTTCAAAAGGGAGGGTTACGCAAGATAATATGATTTTAATCTTTCTCTCAATAAGAAGTTAATGTCCTTGCAGAACTATGAGGGCGTTGGTAGCATCATAGCTTCCATTGTGCCGGATCTAACGGTACGGAAAGAGACGCTCAAGATCGCGGACAAACATCCAGGAGTCTTTTAGTTCCTGGACAACGAGAGCAAATCGGACTCGTTGAAGGTTACCGACCCACCTTTAAGCGAATTTCTGGAAGTAGTGAAGCCAAAGGAGGAATCCACAAATATAAAAAAGAAACTCGGACCACCCGCGGCGTCCTTTCGCAAGCGGGAGCAGTCTGGCCACGTGCTTCCCGCCATCCGAACTTCTCTTTCGAAGGCCCCTCACGACGCGCGGTTCAATGTGTTATATGGGTACCAGTCACCATTGGACGGAAGCCGCTACAGAAGAGAATTTTCACCGCCACGTTGCTTCTCAGAATACAGGATGTCGGCATGCGACCAAGACAAGCAGTCAGTGCAGAAAACGCGGGCAGGAAAGACATTGGTTGAGGGTGCCCACGCAACAAATGGTAAGTTCTTCGTCGGTTCCATCCACCATAAAAGCTTCTTTTGGATGGCTCTTGAGCCAAGCACTTTGGTCAAGATCACTATCTTGTCAGGTTACTCAATACCTTTCGACAGTGTCCCAGCTAAACTTCCTAGTTGTCGCTATCGGAGAAGTGCTATAAGGCATGCTAAATTTGTGACGGCGAAGGCTTCACAGAGCTCCTTTTGACAGGGGAAGTCCAGAAAACAGAGCCACATCAGGTCACCAGTCTCCACATCCATCCATTTTCCGTAGCCACAGATAAGAAACTGCAATTAGTGTTCGATCTCTCTCTCACCTGAATAAGTTTGTGAAAGTACCAAAGTGTAAATTTGCGTATTCGAGCAAAATTTTGCATGTCTTGCATGTCTTTCCTTCTCAAAGGTTCATGTCAACTTTTTAACAACTACAGTCTACAACTTTCACAGGAGAGAGTTACCAGAGCCAGCGATAAAGTGAAGAATTTCTTGCGAAGCGCTAGACGAACCTTACACGATAGGTTGCGACGGTCAGGAACACTGGCCTCGATGCATCTAATTATGAACGTTGCAGATAGCCGCCACACAATGGCATTAGCGAAGGAGATTGCAAGTGCTTAAGCCCAGAAGCGATCCCTCAGCCACAGATGGCCTTTATCCGCACAAGAGTCGCGTGAGTTACAATATTGGACGCATAGATTAGACTCCCCATAATCAGATTCTCTCATTCCCCTCTGGAGTTGAACTTTACGATAAAGTTTTGCAAACAGATGCTTCAGCACACTCGTTAAGAGCTATATTATTAGATGCTCAGGATAATCATTTGAGCACAACTCATAGGATACTCCCACAGAATATTATTTCGAAGTCTAGCACGGCTAGGAAATTATTCGCTATAGTTTTTGACCTGAGCACATTTGCATCTCACATTGACGCGGGGGTTCTAGTAAATACGGGCAGCCAAGCCGCGTCATAATTCTAACAAAAGACAGCATCTCTCTCATGTTACATGAGCTAGCGGAAACTGTCTGGGACATAGAACAACGTAGAGGCATAAATATTATTGTAAAATGGTTCCCTCGCGAACAGAATTTGGAAGCTGACTGGGCTTGCCGATTAGTTGATTACGACGATTGGAGAATGAGTATTATCATTTTTGAACGCCTTTCGAACAGATGGGGTATCCCCAACATTGATATGTTTGCTAATGACAGAAATACCAAATGTGATCAAACCCTAGCTTCCCGTGCCCCAACACAGCTGGAGTGGACGCTTTCATGCAAGTCTCTCCATGGACAGATGGCTTCTTATGGTTAGTTCCTCCCGTCTCTCTAGAGTCTAAAGCCCTGAAATGGGCGCACTTTCATGGATCTAGAGGAAGTCTAGGTTGCCTTCTTTGGTTTTCTCAGTCATTTTATCCTATTCTCAAGCCTGATGGTGAGCACTGGGCTGCTTTTGTGCGGGACGCGGTGCTTTTTCCAGCTGGCACGAAATTTTTTGCAGATGTAGGGCTTCGAGCTTCTGGGTCTCAGTTTGCAAAATCGCCTTTGTCCATGCTAGTAGACTTTCGCCTATCAATTGCATCATAGATCCATCAATTTTTTGTGCTCAGGCTTTGCTTATCCACAGCTCAAATTTTAAGTATAAACAAGTCACTAGCACATTTTTATAGCCCATTTAAGTAACTTCCAAAAATTTCGCGACCCATTCTTGGGGGGGGGGGCCTCGGTACGCCACTAGAGGATAGGTATGGAAATATAAGGCAAATCTGATGGGGGACGGATAGGAACCCGAGCCTGATTAGGCAGACTCGGAAAGTGCCTACAGGAAAACAGTCATGCTCGCAGTCTCCGATTGCTGTCTGGGACATGGCGACAATCTAAGCTCCGCCCCCCCCCCCCCTAAGAGCCTGTTTTAAAACCTTACCAAGGAATGCTGAAAATCCCAATTGAATTTCAGGTCACTATAACTGGCTCTTAGCCAAAACCTTCAAAATGATCGTATACGAAGGTCAAATTAGGCTCAAACGAAAGAGAAAAATTGTGCCATCATCATAAAGTATCTACTGATTGAAAATGATTGAACACCACATTCTTTTGGTTCAGAACTTTATTTAGGTGTTCAGTTACCGAGAAATTATTCAAGAAACTGTCAAGCTTTTCAAAAGTAATTTATTTGAGTGCTAAATTTGGGCAAAAAACTAGAAAATCATTCGATAAACGACGGTTCAAAAACTTTTCACAAATAATAGTTAATTTTATGCTGAAATCTAGGCAAAACACTGGAAAATCAATCAAGAAATGACAGTTTGCAAAATTCTGAAGAATAAAAATTTGGGTATTTATTTGCGGAAGTTTGTGCAAAAGACTACAGAGTCATTCAAGAAATGACAGCTCAAGAACTTCTCAAAAATAATAGTTAATTTGAGTGCTCGATTTCGGTTAAAATCATTCGATAGATGACATTCAGTAGTTATACTATCAGAGTTGCCTGCAAATAAAGCTACAAAAATTTTTCGAGCCGTGGTTGTCAAAAAATGATGTTGATATGCTCCATTAAGAGTGGATTAGCCCCTCTCATCCTTTCTCTTGACTTTTCCGATAACTTTTGGGGGTGAACCAAAATTTGTGCGTTTTTATCGACTTTTTTGGACGCGTTCCGTGCAAGAATGCAGAATTGGTGATCATCAAACTATTTCGAGCGATTAAAAGTCGTCGTAAGACATGGGGAAGCTGAGATTATCGTAGCAACGATAAGTGGTTTTCATCCGTTACCCTCTATTTATAAGGAAAATTCCGCGTCAAACTGTTCTTACAATCTTTTCTTGCCGTAGGTTGGGGTGTCAAGTGTACGAGTTAATTACTCTCGTAACTTGATCCCTCAACCCTTAGTTTCGTATTAACATAACACTTTCTGACTAGATATTTGTCAATATCATATATAAATGTGGGGAAACATAATTGGAGAGAGGACCACCGAGCATCCGGAGAGTGCCAGCTCATCTGAAGTTGGTTGCACCGCCCAGTCGGCGAGAGGACTGTCGGACTCAATTAATCTGCGTCTCGACATGTCTGTTCCATGGCAAAGCTCGTCTTCGAGCTTTTGAGGTTGGCCATGGTTATTTTAGAGTTGTCATCAGTGGCTTCGCTTGGAAGTTGCCCATATGCATGGTTGCGATGTCATCATTGAGTTGGACGTTGCCCATATGCACAGTTGACGTTGCCCATACGTGTAGTTGATGTTGCCCATTTACCATTTGTTGTCACTGACTGCGGGAAGGAAAAGTGCTGTTGATCATTGCTCGGTCGCTTGATTGCTCTTCGAATGCATGTGGACAGGGGAAAAAGGGCTCATAGGAAGAAAGCGGCTTTCGCACGCCCTGTCAAAAGAGGAGCTGGTCTCGAGCTGAAGAGTAAGCAGAGCAAAATAAGCTTACAAATTGGATAATTATCAAAGGATAAGGCTTCCGCAACTGTTCCGAAAGGTGGATCAGAGCGATAATGATGATATCAATACAGCGTAGACGGGTGGGCTCTATTTAGTCTGCGTCTCGACAGGGGTCATTGCTTAAAGCATATTAGCCGGATGTTCTTCGCACATCAGAATCGTCTGTCGATGACAGACTATTTTTGATCAGCGATATCAATAGTGAAGTTGAGATTTCATTTCCTGATTGATTTTCTTTCTAATTAACTACTATCTGTGGGAAGTTTTGAACCGTCATTTTTCGAATGATTTTCTAGTCTTTTGCCTGAAAAGCTTGACAGTTTCTTGAATAATTTCCCGGTAATTAAACACTTAAATAAAATTTTGAACCAAAAGAATGTGGTTTCAATCATTTTCAATCAGTAGATACTTTATGATGATGGCACGATTTTTCTCTTTCGTTTGAGCCTAATTTGACCTTCGTACGATCATTTTGAAGGTTTTGGCTAGGAGCCAGTTTAAGTGAACTGAAATTCAATTGGGATTTTCAGCATTCCTTGGTAAGGTTTTAAAACAGGCTCTTAGGGGGGGGGGGGCGGAGCTTAGATTGTCGCCATGTCCCAGACAGCAATCGGAGACTGCGAGCATGACTGTGTCCTGCAGGCACTTCCCGAGTCGGCCTAATTGGGCTCGGGCCTAAGTTCCCTCACCCGAATCTGATGTAACGACTACAAAGGAAGCACAGACCACCGTTATTTTTCGTTGCTCTAATTGCACCTTCACCGACACGCTTTCCAAATTCATGTTTCTAGCTCATTTTTAGACTATAACACTGTATGACCTATGCGATCAAGTAGCCGCTGTTCCCAAAAAGCAAGTGAAGGGATTTTCAGTTGTCGCTTTCACATTAAACTTGCAGTTTAGATACCAGGACTATTGTGCAACACATGAGACTTCCCATCGCAACCCGTTCTCATCAAAGGAGGGGAAGTCCTCGTCTTCCATCTTTCGCGAAGAACATGCTACCTAGATTATGATTTAGCATGATCTGATGTTATACACACTGCATGATGAATGAGAGACTTTTCTTTCTCCAGTGATGATACTAATACGAACCAGTAAATAATGCAACGATAAACTGTATTTGTAATAGATGTAACATAAAAACATAACAATTTGCAAAGAATATGGAACAACAGTCAACAAAAAAGAATAAACCCATTTCACCACCATTCCTGATGACATGAAAACAATTCGTGTGCCATATGTCACACCTCAGCTTGAGTGCCTAATCTATGCGGGAACTAGGAGGATAGGTATGGAAATATAAGGCGAATCTGATGTAACAAGAATAAAGTTAGGAAGCATAGACCACCGGTATTTCTCGGAAAATATCATCCAAACAAGGACTAGCACACTCGAGAGCACCATGCATATGACTCATGACAAAAGCATCATAAATCTGAGATGAGGTTAACAGTCACTTAAAAATAAGCAACGCAAAATAGAGATCTCGAGTATCACGGTAGATGAATGGATGATATACATGACGTCAAATCATCGAACTACAATTGACCTGACTGCATTTTAAAATTTCAAATCTAAACGACTATGTATAAATCTTTACAATGCTTACAGAACAGACCTGACCGCTAGTGTACAATGTCTCACCGCCCACGTACAAAGAAAAGTTCTTTGATGCAACTCTTCTAATCCTCCTCTGTGGAATTTCCTTCGAATCACACTATTCAAATATTTTTGGTGTGCAATAAGTCCAGCAACATCTGCATGACCATGCGGAACTATGTACTTGCAATACTCTGTTTAGAAATAGACCTCGCAGTTTACAATATCGATTATAAAACATCTTGGACATGTCGCCACGGTCATGTCTCCACGCCAACTAGCGCACATTCCGCTAATTTCAAAAAAGGCAAGGCAACACGCCGAAATCAGCAGGATGACTCCTCAAGAAAGCAGATTTAAAATTCTCAAAATTGACGGAACAGTGTAACGGCTCCTAGTCTAAATGTGAAATATGAGTCCGAGCTGACAAAGACTGGCAGTGAGTTGCACACTTCAGCGGTCAGAATCATTGAGATGCCTGTCTAAACAACTATCAGAACAAGGCAAAAAGATGATAGCATGAGAGGAAATCAAAATGAAAGTAATGATATCAACCAATGGAACGATCACGATGTTAGAGCGGAGCTATAAAAAAAGATCAGTTACGAATGTGAACTCCTATGAATCTGATAAAATCTATTGACCCGAGGTCATTCTCAGATAAGCCTCGTAACAATAGTTGGCTGGGTAGGGTGTAAGAGGTGGTTCATCTGAAAACGAAAACTGAAAGGAGAATATCATCAGAAATACATAACACGGATTCGATTTAGTGCAATAGATCGTGGAGCTTGGGCCTATTGATAACACTCTAGTTGTTTCTATCACTTTCACGGGGTTAACGGTAAAGTGCGGATTCCACGCTGAGTACTGAATAAGAAAAACTGTTTCAGGATGAGATCTCAGCGGACGAACGACACAGAAGGATTATTTTGATGAAGAAAGGTTCCATACGATAAGAGCACAAAACAGCTGCAGTCCCGTCATTTCCCTGTAGATGGAAAGCACCCGAAGTTTTGTCACATGAAAAGGACCACACCTTCCGAAAAATATCTGTGTAAGCCTCCGCAAAATTCGCTCAAAATTGGAAATACAAATTTCGGAAAAAGAAAGACCTCATTCAAAGAATACTTTCTATCCAAACAATTCGTACCATTCATATATGCTGTTAGCACATAAATTTTGAATTATATGAGCAAAAAAAAAAGAAAGGAAGGGTGAAAGCAAAGACGAAAACGCACTTGGCTGAGGAAATGCTGGTTCACAAAGGGCCAGATAGAACATATCCAGGGCTTGCTGAGAATTAGCAAATCCGTAGCTACCAGTAGCTGATCGAAACAGCGGATCCGATGCTGAGGAGAGCTAGAAATAAACAGCATGATTCTACTGGAGTTACGATAGACAGATACGATCAATGACTACAAACCCACGTTGGACACATTAGATTGTGACATCACCGTTGTAGTACCGTGATGTAATTTACTTCGGGAAGAAGATGAACGTACTGTGGATGGCATTGAAGGAGCCGAAGCAGTGATTATAGAAGTATGTTGCGGTGTGATGATGGTCATACCCAATGCTTGAGCTATCGATGCCGATATTGACGATGCTGCAGATCAGCGTAATAAGATAAAACACGTACAAGTGTATGGCAGATTCAGAATTGATGCCAGGAGCGCTACTGTTGTATTAGCTGAGGTACGATGCGGCGTCGCTTGGCGGAAAAATCGCGCCGATCGTACCTCCTGACCGTCCTCCGATTCGTAACCGCAGGGACTGGACATCTTGCGGAGCACGCGCTGCGAGGTGAAACGCTTGCCCCAATACAAGCTGGCCATTGTACAAGTCGTGCTCTCGCAACATTTCAGCCGCGCCGCGCGTGGTTCGCAGCGTTTGAGCAGTCCGTACGGTCAATGAATCGACGGTACAAAAACAGACGCAGAGGAGACAAAGAACACTTTAAATGCTTAAAAACGAACGAATGTGGGACCTTCAAAATAACAAGACGAAAATCTGCCATGATAAGATAACCGCCATAAATATGTTTTTATTCAATCTAAAATCATGCATACGGGAAGTTTGTAGCGCAAAAACATCCATTTCAATAGAATTGCAAATTTCGGATAATTAGGACGCTTCATCTCGGAAACATATGCTTGGAACACTACAGTGAAAGCAGTTCTTCATTCACAAACAGCAAAATCGCAAGGATGAGGGTAAGATAATTTTTAGACTCAACAATGACACAGTACAACTTTCGTTTCATTATGTACGATGCAGAATCGAAATTTCTTTTCAGTTTTGGTCAGAAATACTGCTTACACAGAATTCGACTGCCTTTTCGGTTTCCTTTTTTATGCCATTGTAGTCTCATCATAATCCAATGGATTAAGAGCATCCTGCCATTTTCAAATGTGAAAAGTTACTCATAGGGCCGCGCGATAATTGATCTGCCTAAAGGCAGGGTCCCGGCAAAGAGTCGATTTTGAGATTCTGTGCTTACTCGGGCCTACCTGCTAAGTTGAATCCGAAAATCCACACTAGAGAGCGCGAAAAAGGCGGAAAAGGGTTCTACCGCAGGAGGGAAATTAGCAGGTGGACGGAGTCTTCCCTACTATGAACTCATGCTCCCAGCTTCCGAAGCGATCTTCTCAGTTCCGATTTCAAGTCACGCGCTCGCACTTGGCCGGTAGTGATGTCAGAGCGGCTAGCGGAATCGACAAGATCGTTCCGGAAGTTGGGAACATGATTACACAGGGGGAGGTGGAAGACCCCGCCCACCTACTTTTCCCTTCTGTGTTAGGGCCTTTTTTTCGCCCTTTTCGTGCCCTCCATTGTGGATTTTCGGATTCAGCATAGCGAATAGGCCCGGATAAGCACACAATCTTGAAATCAGCTTTTCGTCCGGACACTATTTAATCCACTTGATTCGTTTGATCCGTTTCGTCACTGATCAATTCAGTGAACGGACCGTGGATGTAGTGGATCAAGCGGAAATGGATAATCGCTTCGCTATTGGTCAGTTCACTGAACTGTTCAGTGACGAAGCGATCAAATGGATCAGAGGGATCAAGTATGGCGCGTGCCATAAAAAAGGAATGAGACTGGCAACGTTGGGGATGAAGTTTCAAAACAAAACGATTGGATCATAACAAATGTCTCATGAGATCAGCGGTAAAGAACCCATGTTATTTTTGTGCTTATATTGGCCAGTCGTGAATAAAAGAACAGAACTAGACGTAAAGGTTATTTCTCGCATCTAATCAGTTGCGAACAGTGAACTGTTAAACAGCATAAATTTGTAGATGCGCTAATGAAGATATGTCGAAACGTATTACAAACTGAATCCCTTCATCACTGATATTCGTGGATAGAAGTAAGATGCGAAGAAAAAAGAATAAAGACACTAACAAGGGGATGGCCAGAAGTCGAAGTGGCCAATCCAAACAAGCTGCATATCATTCGATGCAGCAAAGAACGCTGATTTCAAATCTGTCTTCCATATTGCAGAATGCCTTTGTAGGCGAAGTTATACGCAGCTTTATGCAAGAGAATAAAAAATAAACAATCGTATAAAAATCGAAAACTGCAAAATTAGACACGTTATTGCCCTTCTTGCTCACCTCTGAAAAGAGATGTCAGAATAACTTAGAATCGCGTTTCGAGATTAGAGACATATATTTGGAATCAGCTTCATACGCTTGCGCTCCTTCTGAAGCAAGCCATCGATTTTCTTTTGTGCAAAATTTGCATACTCTTTAACCTACTGGTACTACGGCATCATTTAAATGCTAATTGATTGCAATCTCTTGTTAATTACAGAAAACCTGATATAATTTTAGTATCCCAGCACCGATTTTAGGCAAATTTTCATCTACAGGCAGCTTTACCATAAGGAAAAGTATGGCAATTTCGGACACAAAAAATAACTTCTTTCAGAATAATGCGCCGCAGCTAGGAACAGCCTATTTTGGATCAGCGTTGAACCTGATTCTAAACATATGTGTCTCATCTCGAAAGGCGATACTAAGTTACCTGACATTTCCTGAAAACAGACCATAAAGTGATCTAGTTGTATGTTTTGGTCCAGCACTAAGCCGAGAATGGCTCTGCACGGCCAAGTTTGCCCTTCACGCGCACCATCTTAGCAAATTAATGGCCTTCAATGGCTATATTTTCTCCTACGAAAGTGTTTTGCAGACAAGGAAGACAGATTCAGAGTCAGTATTTTATGATGCATCTAAAAATAAGCAACTTGGTTGAAATGGCCGTTTCGATTTCCGACCATTCCCTTGTGAGCAATGTGCTCGACCAGGAGAAATGTGAAAACAAAAACAAAAACCTGCGAGGTCTGTTTGCAAATCACCGGAAAAGAAAGCAGATAAAGATTAAAAATTTCAACTCACGAGGCTTAACAACTTCGGCCACAGAAGCACCAAGTTTCCCTGCAATCAGCGAATATCCGTGTTTAGAAGTGCAAAGCAGCTTAGTAGAGCGAAAAAACGGTTAAATCACCTTGAACAACAATAACTCGTCCAGACTGTTCGGGGTTTTGTATTGGCTGGTTACCTACAGTGAATATAGGCTGAGTGTAAGACGCAGCAGGTCGCCATTTCTTCGGTGGTATTATTTCGGACGAACAGTCATTGCCATTCTAAAAGACCCATCTTTGTAAAATTGAAAAACAAACACAGCATTTTTACAAACAGAAATTTTTTCTAAACACATTGCTACCAAGAAGTATGATCGTCTCCACGATTCGTGTAGAGGTGGATTGCAGACTTCGCCTGATGACACAGGTAAACTTGTTAAACTTCCACGTCATACCATTGTTTTTTGTACTCTCTCGCTATCAAAAACCGCCACGCTCTGAGTTGGCAAAACCCCGCCTCTACATGAATCGTGGAGCCGATGATATTTTCATAGGTCAGCAAAAGCATAAATTTCAGGAAAGCGAAGAAAATGCGCAATCGACAGACCTTTACGGTTTTCAAAGGAGGAGAAGCACGAAGTGCATCGAAATAGGGTTTCTTAGCGTCGTTGTCAAAGCTCCTCCACTTCTCTACCATCTGCAGCATTTATCGGATACCATACATAGAAAATTCGTAATGTAAGCTTACCATTCGCGTAACAAGACCCATTGGTAAGTCAGGCCTTGTCTTCAGTAACCTATCCCGCTCTTCATTGGCGAAAATCGTAAACGCCTGCGCCGATCGTCGCCTTAGATCTAAAGCTGTTGATGTATGAAGATGCGGTAATGTGCTCACAAATACACAAGAACCTGATACCTAATCGGACGAAATAAAACGAAATTAGCAAGATTAAGTATAGACGAAATGTTTCCCACATCGTTCTCAACTTCAAAGATATTTCCGCTCTGATTAAAACAGCAAAAATGTGAGGCATCCATGAGTTTGCCTCACGTTGCCTGCAGTAGCTGTCAGGTAAATACGGACTCGCTAGACACCAAAAACAGCGCTGATGGTTTCTAAGCACATGGTGTTTGGCAATTCTGCTGCGGAAGTTTGAACTTTCTTAGGCACACTCTAGGATTTCAATCCTGCTTAGGATCTCCCTTTCCTTGAAAGTCCCCTTCGTCGAGATGACCGGCTATACATTTTGGTACACTTTCCCCCCAAAAACAATGAAATGATAGAAGTTCACAAAAAATATTTTTGTTGCAAGAGTCTTGCTTTTACTTTGCTTGATCGTACGCAGCAGTTATACTCGGCTCATATTCCAGAGAGGAGGGCGCAGGCGGGGAAGGAGAGTTAACGTCCGCTAGTGAGCGAGAGAAAGGCGCCGAACTTACTTCCAGTGCTCCTAGAGAAATGTCTCTCAAATGGTTTTCAAAGCCCAACTCTTTTGAACGTTCAGAAAATCCAGAAAAACATAAATAAAATGAGAGGTGATCCCCAGGGGATTCCCAAGGTATCCCCAGGAAATCACCTCTCACACAAAATGGCAAAACACCAGACTTTTATGGCAGCAACCTGGCACCCACTATGCGCAGGTATAAGGGTATGAGAATCTTCATAAGCAAAATAGAGAAGGAAGAAGAAGGTACCCAGAGTAGCGAGATATGACGCATCCCCTCCCCAGCGGAGAATTTACGTGCATATGGGCCAAAGTTTCATTTGAGCAAAAGATCAGGTCAACCAAATGTAGAGATCTAAAGGACCGTAAGGCCCCTCGGGCAGAGTTCACAAGATTTCATCGTCGCGATTGATCGCGACAAGACAACTGTAACAATATCAATGCATGCCGATTGTGATAGTTTTTCAACACGATTAATAGTGACTACCTAACACAACCGAAATACCAGAAGATCGGCATGCAGTGAACTCGTAACACTTGTCTTGTAGCGATGAATCGCGACGATGAAATCGGCCTGAGGCCTAAGCCTTTCAACAGGCTCGAATCTGGTAGATAAACACTCCAAAAAACACATTCCATCAACTCTATAAAGGGAGAGCTGAGGAAATCTCAAAAACAATCCAATTATTTATACAAAACTGAAACACCCCGCACAGCTTGAAAACACCACATGGTGATAAAGTATGACAACCAGAGCAACTTACCAGCATACTTGTCTGTTTTATCAAGTGACTCTGCTGGAGATTGAGATCTGAAGTAAGTACATATACGGAGTATTGCATGGAAAGTCAAATCAGTACCTGGGTTTTCCATTTTCGTCTTCAGGGGAAGCAGCACGACTCCCAGACTGTGACGTTTGCGAAGAGGGCATCTATATGGTACAGTAGGTATCGGAATTTGTTCAGGAGCAAAGATCATGAAACTCACACGATACATTACAGCGTTGGATTTGCAGCTTGTTCGAATAAACTGCAAACAAAAAGCGACACACAACAGAAATTCTGGAAGAAAGGATACTGAGGAAATCGTTAACGAGTACCCAAATTTAAGGATCTGAAAAGAAGAGTGATATTCGATTAAAAAATATAGTCACAATGAGTTTCTTAATAGAAATAATTCCAGACTCTAAACTCTCGTTCGCACTTGCGGTTGCGAACGAGTGGCGGAATTACCAATGGCGCGGGAAATGGCAGCAGGTCAACCTGCAACCCGTGGGCAACCGTGGTTGCATGCAAGCAGGCAGTGTCCGGGCAAAAAGTCGATTTTGAGATTTTGTGCTTACCCGGGCCTATTCCCTATGCTGAATCCGAATATCCACATTGGAAAGCGCGAAAACGGCGAAAAAGGGCTCTAACGCAGGAGTGAAATCAAAAGTGGGCGGGGTCTTCCCCAGGGTGAATTCACGGTCCCAGCTTTCGGAGCGATCTTTTCAATCCCATTAACCGCTCTAACATCTCAACGGACCAAGTGCGAATGCCTGATCTGAAGTCGGAAGCGAAAAGATCGCTCCGGAAGCTGGGACCGTGAATTCACCCTGGGGAAGACCCCGCCCACTTTTGATTTCCCTCCTGCGTTAGAGCCTTTTTTCGCCGTTTGCGTGCTTTCCAGTGTGGATTTTCGGATTCAGCGTAGCGAATAGGCCCGGGTAAGCACAAAATCTCAAAATCGAGTTTTTGCCCGGACACTGCCTTTGAGGGTGCGGTCAGGCGTGTCCGACCTGGTGAGTCGTAATGGGTGGTAGGACTGGGGGGGGGGGGAACGGCCGTAACGAGAACCGATTTTGTTTAAAAAATTGAGGAATTACTACGGTCGAGTAAGATGAACAAGAAAAGCACTAGACTGACGAGTTTCACAAGCAGAGAAGGATTGACATTCGCGAACACTGTGTTGGATTCTACGATACGGTGTCGCGAACAGCATATTGATAAACTCCCACTAACAAAGCCTAATTAAATTTCAGTTGTCCATCTCTTATCACCTCCCACATACCGTAAAGTCACCAAAGAAGCTTGCTGTGTGATTGGGTATGATTTCTGTAATCAGCATCCCAGATTATTTTTACGAACTCTACAAATATCATTACCTATTGCATTTTCTAGTGATTTCAACGTCTAAAAAGCCTGTTTTTCAAACATGATTAACTTGGTCACAAAAGTGAAAGAAAGTCATTTTTAATGCTCATAACGAATTGGTACTTTCTATCGTCTGCGGTAGGAATTAGATTTCCATATCGCTTTTATAATGGATCAAGAAGTGCCGATGAAATCTCTTGAGTGCTTCAACTCCACCAATCACCACAAAGCGAAACAAGTCGTTGTAAGCGCAAACGCCTACTGTAGAGTGTTCGAGGCTTGTGCTAGCTCACATAAAACTAGGGTGAAAAGCTTCTCCAGTGATAAAGGTAATGGGGTCAGGCACAACTCCTCGAAAGCTCAGGCTGTCTCAGCTCTCGTAGCTTTGTGCCTGTCCTCTTTAACATGTCTTCAATCGCTTCATTTCTGGTATGAATATTGAGCACATAGTTTCTTGATGCTACAATGGAAATTTGGAGGCAAACACCCAATTGCCGGGAAAGCTACTGCTTCAATAACTTCAATGAGCCCATTCAGATCAAAACCTGCCGTCAAACTATGTGTGCTTATAAAAGTGCAATGACAGAAAATTGGGCGTACAAAAAAAACTCAAAAATCTTTAGTAAGAGATGACGTCTTCCAAAATGTCACACCCTTCCAGAGGACAGCAGGAAGAAGAGGTCGTTTGGGGCTTTTAGGGGAATGGAGGGGGGATCGCTTTTAAATGACTGTGCCTTACCTCTTGCTCAACTCTGGTTGCAAGGCAGGGAAAGGTTCGTATAGGAATAGGGACAGTGTTCTTTGACATAGTGTTTTGACAGGGCCGGGCGGATCCGGGTAAGCCAGCTAGTAAATTTATAAAAAAGTGGAAATCAGAATAAAAAAGACAAAAATTCTGTAGAAATTTTCAAAAAAAAACATTTACAAGAGCTCAAAACATTTTTGAGGGATGTATGATTTGATAAAAATGCTAAATGTACCGATTGCCCTAGTCTTGCTTTTTAAGCCTTCCTGAAGTTTCACACACTCGACAAAAGCGAATATCTTTACCAGCTGTGCATCATGAATTTCTAAATCTTTTTGTAATTTTTGTCACGGGCCCATATGATTTATCTGTACTTTCGAGATGCTCTGCTATATCAAAGCAAAATTTGGTGTTATTTTGTTAACTGTGGATTTTCTTATGATTTTATATATGGCAACAAAAAAATGAAAAAGGGGGGGGGGGGGTCGTATCTGGTCGCATCCAAACTTTTTCGCCGCTATGGAGGCCTGCTCGCTGCAATTTTGCTGTGTCGTCGTCTCCCCGGTGTACGTTGGGCGGAGCTTTTGCGGACATTTCAACACGTTGGTGAACTTGTTAACCCTCTACTACGAGGCATTGTTTTTTGTGATCTCTCGCTACCAACCCTGCCACGTGTGACAACAGCATATAAACGTGGCAGGTTAGAGAGTACAAGGGACCATGCTTGAAGTAGAGGCTCGACAAGTTCACCAACGTGTTGAAATGTCCGCAAAAGCTCCGCCCAACGTACGCCGGGGAGACGACGATATTACGAGAGCATCCTCCTACTTTCTATTATGAAAATTTCAGGCTGTTTTATAACTTCTCTGGTGAGATACAAAATTTCAAGCTCAAAAATCCCAGTTTTTTCTTTTTAGGATCGCATCTATATTTGCGAGAGTCGCATCTAGATTTTTTCGAGCTTACTGCTCCTCAATGGCTGAAACTTTTTTAATTTATAGTATGGGCATTATACTATTAGGTTATTCTAAGTCTTTTTACACTTTAACTTCTTACGGCGATATCATGCACCTCACAATCTTTACAGGGCTTCAGGGAACCATTCGATAGAGCAAAAAAAATCAGGAGAAATTCATATCTTCGTTCAAAAAATCCTACGAATCTCCAATTTGTTCATACAGATTGCACACTACGTCAGACACTCATGTATACCGTTGCGGTATTTTTTCCTCATCTAGAAATTGAGGAAACGGAATTTTCTTGTTTTTACAAAAATGGAGCTATGCTGTTTCTATTTATGTAGCTGTATACTATAAGCCCTTAGAATTACAAGCGTAAATTTTCAGCTTCTCAGAAGCTCTAGTTTTCGAAAAATAGCGAGTTTAACTTTTTCACTCGGGTGTTCACTGCTAAAATAGGTGATTTTCGAAAACTAGGGCTTTCGGAAAGCTGAAAATTTACGGTTGTACTTCTAAGGGATTGTAGTATACAATTGCATGAATAGAAACAGATAGCTCCGTTTTTGTAAAAACAAAAAATTTTCGTTTTCTCAATTTCTAGATGAGGAAAGAATACGGCAACGGTACATATGAGTGTCTGATGTAGTGCAATCTGTGCGAACAAATTGTAGATTTGAGGATTTTTTTTAACCAAAGATATGAATTCCCTAAATTTTTGAGCCTTCAGTGCGACTCACATTTCGGATGCGAAATTACGGTGGGTCAAAGCTGATGCGAACGTTTACATGCCATCTTGTAGAGCTTGCTTTGCCCGAACGGTTCCCTGAAGCCCTGTAAAGAATGTGAGGTGCATGACTTATTGCCGTAAGAAGTTGAAGTGAAACAAGACTTATGTAACAACCCAATACAAATCCTGTTCATTGCAGCCTCTCAGTCTTTCCCTGCCTTTAGTTACGAATTTTCAAAATGCCGTGCACTTTTTTGACATCGTTCTGGATGGCGCTAGAACAGTTTTTCTCGCACGAAAATTAGTGCAAAAGGTAGGAAGTAAGCCTTTTGGTCGAAAATATATTTTACGCTCCAAACATATCGCTTTTTCTCCCTTCAAAAAAATGGTGTCGCATACGGGGGCCGGATTTGCTGGCCAGAAGTATGCTTGAAAATTCAAAAAACTTGCAGAAGCCCAAACATTATTGAAGGTATGTATGGTGCCGAGATGTTGTACGTACCCCTTGGCTCAGAAATTCTGCTTCCGAAGCCCCTCTGAAGTCTCACATACTCGACAAAATCCCTTACGTTTACCAACGGTGATCGTCAATAGTTTGGTAATCTTGAAGTAAAGCTTAATTATCATTAAGATTGGAATCGATGCTCTGCTTTGTCATATAACTTTCATTCATATTTTCCCAACCACAGTAAACATAGCCAAATCTTCGTAGAATTTTATTACTTACCCAATCTACGCATAATTATTTGTGGGTTGGTTTTTGAATGGCGAAGCATTACTTGCATTATTTCCCAATTTGTAAGTAGTATCTATTTCTGATCTATAATTGATTGAGGTCCATTGGCAGGCACCTTTTGAGATTGACATTCATTTACGCAGGTTATCGCAAAAGAGAGTGGGAGGGGTAGGTGGGAGGGGGGGGGGGGGGTAGGTGAGGAGGGGGTCGTACGGATAGGTACCTTCAGGGGGGGGGTCGTAGAAGAGGGTCTAGGATCGCATCAACACGCTTGACTCTGATTGGAAGTCAGGGCTTTGCAACAAAATCTGCAAAATCCGAGAACCGTTCAAAAAAATTCACGGTGCCAGCTGGTGTCGAGTCCTGCATCCCTTGGTCGACTACCATTGGCAGAATGACTATGTTTTCGACTTTGCTCAAGGCTTTTTACGGCTATTACAAGAGGGGTCACCAACCAAACTTCAATGTGCCTCAAAATCGTAAATACCCAGTCCATGTGGTGGCATCCAGCTTGTTCTTTAAGCTGAACTTCATCCGCTGTCATTCATGATATTTTTACGCGGAACTCGTGATGCTCATCCTACACGTACAAGTCGTAACTTGGAAAATCCGTCTATCTTATCCTATCGTGTGATGCTGACTATTCGCGCGCAGTGCCGGCATTATTTGCATATATATTTGTTTATTCTCAAAGTTTACCGCGTTTTCTTGGCGCTGCAAGCACACTATCAAAGCGGAAAGTTTACTCGAACGCCGTACAAACATACAAACACCTTTCCCCCTAAAGTCAGTGAGCCTAAACATGCCAAAGTATTCCGTGACCCAAATCCCCTATCGTGTTTTGCCTTATTGAAGCCTGTATGCACGTATGATAGCCGTTAAGGACCGCAATTAACATCTCCGTCCGGAGGGGATCGCAGCTTTCAAAGAAAGCTTCATATCCTGCAGCTGCAAACTTCTGATTTTATGCTGCTGTCCATATGTATTTCTACCGTCTTTCACTAGAACATATTGAACAAGAGCGAGAAGCTGTACAAGCCTTTTTTCATACAGGGTGTCCCAAAAGTCTTGTAGCCTAGTATTTTTTCTGGTAAAAACAGAACGGAACAACATGGGGATATGAAACTTGGTGTATATATTATTCAAAAAGTAGCAAATACATCACAGCATTTCGTGGTAGCGTCTTTCCTTAATAACGGAAGCCTTCAAACTGTTGGCGATTACCACTGCCGACGCACGCAGGCAGTCATCATCAATTTTGTCCCAATTTTTCATGAAAATAAATCCTATCGCTTAGAAAACGTGCTATATGATAGAGCAAGCTTTCAGCTACATCATACCATGATCAGAAAAATTTGTGAGTTTTATGTTTGAAGTTACGGAAATTTGAATGCAGGCACGTGTAGATCTCATGATGGAGTTTTGGACACATTTGCGGAAAATGAAAACAAAATCGGCTACAATGTGTTTCAAAACCAAGTTCGTCATCCGTGTTGCGTTAGATTCCCATCTAGAAAACATGCGAAGAGGACATTACTCCAAATTCAGTGACTGCTACAAGAAACTAATTTCAAAGACAAAGTTGCAGCAGCACGCATTGAAAATTTCCAGGTATTTTCTCGCCCCTCTTGACGAAATAGATTTTTAAATGCAGCCATTATAGTGATAGTAGTGCAAAGCGTCCTCTATATTGTGGATATAAATTCGCACCGCGGTGTGCCAAATTTTTGCAGTAGCGGAATAAATTTCAAACTTTTAGGAAATAGCTTTTTGCGTTTTGAGGTGAAAATGGTTTGATAATATTTTTTCAGTCAAACATGAAGATCATTTTTTACCCCAATTACGTAGTTTACGAAGAATGATTGGAGGATTCTGTGGTATAAATTTGAGATCAAAATCACCACTGATTGTTGAGTTAAAGCAGTGCAAAAATAGGCTACAAGGCTTTTGGGACACCCTGTAGCATTCTATAGGATCCCCTGGTGATCCCCGGCAGCCGACAGTTTTTTCTTCAAACTTATTTATCTTTCTTCAAAGTTGGCGAAAACATTCCAAAGTTGTACCGTCCATCTAGCCCAACAATGCTAAGCATGTTACTGATAAGAACAAATGATATGTCGGAGTCATGAAATTTGCGAAGAACCACAAGTAGAATGCTGGAGTTTATCGAAAAAATCGATTTCGCAAAAATTTCTTATCAGCAACATGCTTAGCACTGTTGGACAAATGAACAGTACAACTTTGGGATGTTTTCGCTAATTTTGAAGAAAGAAAAGATCTTGAAGAAAAGACAGTCGGCCGCCGAGGATCATCGGAGATCATACAAAATGCTGGTAAATGCTGCTGGTACCCCTCCCCCGAGCCGAAATCCTGGGTATGCCACTGGTAAGAGAAGAGTGCCATACAAGATGAGATTTTCACTATTACGCTGGTCACCCTTTCGTTATAGTCGTATGTTATCAAGTAAACGCGATGCAATCGTTCGTACCCATCTTGCTTCTATCTGCGAAGCATCCCTTACAAAAGAGTGTCACATGTCATTTTTTTGATTTTCGAAGAATCAACGCTTATTTTGTTTAGTCGTTTATCCCTAGTCAAGACAACTTTGTTGAACTACGTTCGTTGGGCGCATCATTGAGTGTATAAATAAATAAATAAATAAATAAATAAATAAATAAATAAATACAGGGCTCCTAAATTGCAGAGTCGTTTGCACCACCGGTCGCGCGACCGCTGGTGCAAACGACTCTGCAATTTAGGAGCCCTGTAAATGTCGCAATTAGTATGCCGAAAATGTCGAACTGGTCAAAGTACATAACAAATTCTTGTTAGTCTGATGTGACTCGAGTAAAAAGCGAAGAAAAACTTTATTTGGCCGAGCCATCTTCCATGGTTCAAAGCCAGTGCGAGTTTGATTCTAACTACAAAACGCCGCAACGTGTGCGCGCTTCGACAATCTAACTGCTAGACTGAATGGATTTGCCACGAAAACATGCGGCCCTTTTAAAGAAACGTACACCATTATATGCATCTTAAAGCGCTGATTCTAAATCTGTTTTCATTATCTGCTGTGCGCTCTTCCGAAAGAAGTTAGGAACATTTCTTGTCACCAAAATTTGCACTGTTTTTAATGCAGGATTTACCAATATTGTTAGAATGTTCTTACGCACTACGAATGAGCGTACAGATAAAGTAAAGCTTCACGTTAAGCACAGGAAAACTGTCACCAATACATCAGAGTCTAAAAAGCCTGGATATTGACGATTTTGACTGCCTAAATCTCCCAAAATCAGTATAGAAGAAAGTCCACAACTTCGTTCAGAGAGTCGCACAGCAGATATTGAACACAGATTTAAAATCAGCGTTCTAAGACGCAGCTCCTGATATACATCTCATTGCATAAGGCCGCGGTCACCAAGTATCCCTTGCTCGTAAGGCTAAGGCTAAGGCTCCCTTAGGGTGCCGACATCACGCCAGTGCTATGCCGGCGCCTAGCCAGAGACGAGCTGTCACAGCTTCGATCGATACACGTGCTTTCTTTCGGTGCGGGGCTAGCTGACCTAGTTCTCAGCCAGATGAATGCACCTACTATTGATCGAAATCTCTTCAAAAGTTCGGTAGCGCTTTGATGGCACAGGGTCAGCCCTGCCGCGAACGAAATGCACGTGTATCGATTGAAACAGCGCCGGGATAGCTCGGCTATAGCTCGACGCTGGCTCGATGCCACGCAGCGCTGGCGTGGCCTCGGCACTCAGGCGGAAGCCAAAGAGAATTTCATTGCATGAGCAGCATCGCAAGACCTTCCAATCCAAAGTCAAAAGATGAGTTCGATTTCACCCCCGCCACATACCGCGACAGCGGCTCATCCGCTTCATGACCGTATCCCCGCTGTGTTATCATAAGGGTCTCACAACGGCTTTGCGTCTCAGCCCTAGAAAGAATGCGGGATTTCGTTCGTATTCAGCACTGAGGACTACATTGCCTTATTTCGCGCTTTCACGTTTTCAATGACTTCGCCGGATGCCTTCAAGTCTTCGTCACAGGCCATTACTGTTATACTCTCACTCTCAATGCTCTGCAACTACTGAGATGTTCGAGTGCAATTTCCTATGTAATGCTGTGCTTACTCTGCTCATCCCCGCATCTTGGTTCCGTTGCAGATTATTCCTCCATTTACTATTCTCTGACACGAAGTCTTCCCATGTCCGTCCGGATTATCTGATCTGATTTATTTGTCCGAATGCCTTGAGAAAAATGGTGAAAAAGATGAAAAGAGGCGTCCAATCACATGACTTTATCTTTAGACTTAGGAGCGAAAATTGTGAAGGCTATCGATTATAACGTCTCAACCTCCATGTCATCGGGAGTGCCACATTTAAGTCTGAAACCACTCATTTCCTCCTTTATGATAGCTCCGCTTTCACTTCTTTCCGCTGTCTTCTTAACCAGCTTTTTTAAACGAAAAACCACTTATGCTGGTGAAATTAGAGTAAAATTTTGCTGCGTGGTTAGGTCTTTTGATTGTCAGCTTCGTTGTTTATTTATATTATTTCAGAATGTGGTTAGACCTCTTTCTTTCTCTAGCTTTGGTTTTGAAAGCCTCAACATATGAGTGTCCATATAGTCATTATTTGTTTGGTGATAGGTAAACATACTTTTGCCTAGTAACAGTTGTATTCTAACGATAAGCACTTATTTCTAGGTGTTTCGCATTTGCTGACGGTAAAGGCAATCAAGAGGAAGGAAGAAAGCAGTGTTCAGACTTAGGATACGACTTGGTCTCGATACATGACATGATAAATAATAGATACGCTCAACGTGAGGAAAACTGTTTTCTTGCCTCTTTTTTGGATCAGAAGAGACTGTATTGAGAATTTGCTCATGCTGTTCTTTCCTTCACGTATGGATTCATTTGGATCGGACTTTACAAAGAAAATGAAAAATGGAAATGGGTCGACAATTCTACGTATGATTTCATGAATTGGGGAGAAGGTAAGCTTGTTAAAATTTCTCTTTCCATTACTTCTAAACATCCATATCGCAAGGTATCAATCCTGCGCACCAGTGCGCTGTTATGCGCATTTCTGATGGAAAATGGCTGAGTGCCGATTGTGAGATGCCGTGAGTGCATAAAAGAGAAGAGGACTTAAGTAGTAGTTGATCAAACCTCAACAGTTTTTCCATTTTCCTTCAAAAGTCTGAGTTTGCCAACAGCAAGTAGTAGAGCCTCTGATACTAAATTTCTATATATATCACAGAACACAGGATGAGAGATATTCAGGTACCAAGCATTGTGTTCTGGACTTGCAAATGAATCGACAACTCCTCGCACAGGTATGCTCCTAGTTCTCTGTAAGCATTCACAATTTTCGTGAATCTTGGGGACAACTGTGTTAGCTTGAGTTTCTGTGAGAGACTGTTAATAACAAATGTACTTTGAAGTGCCAAGTAATGATTTAATTCTAAGGAGAGTGACGTTTAAAAACACAAAAAAGTTATCTAGTCTTATATGCACTGGTGATTCTGGGCTTTGATATTTAGAAGTTTTTATGTGATAAACGTAATGATAAAAAGATTTGCTAGGTGCATATGATTCAGCGCCCCTCAAACCTCACGATATTTCAAGACACTTTCACACAAAATTGGTTTGCAAAATGAGGTGCCACAAATATGTCCATGTAAACGGAGAAAGGGTTGAGAGTTATTGTTTTCAACCTTTTCAGAGCAATAATTGAAACCGCTACACTGCTTTGCTACATGCGAGCAACAGTGCATAATCAAGTCACGTAGTGAGCTAATATTAGGATGGAAGTTAGGATGACGTCATTGCTCGTGCTAGCGTCATGCCAATGGATGCAAGCGATGGGTTTGACACGGCGATGATACGCCTCTGGCACCCCTTGGACGCTGCCTTATAAGGGAAGTTGCAGACGGAGTACCTCAGTCATTGTACGAATGCGCATTTTCGTATCCATCGATATCAATTCCGATAGTTTTGCAGTAATATTACGATCACATCGAAAGTTTCCGTTATACTACGCCGCAGCACGCCGCGCCCTGCGGCATGCGCCGCTGCAGTCGCACTGAAAAAATAAAAACTGCTTGCTTTAAGAAACTCTCGGAGAACACGAACGTGGTGGCTTAAAAAGTCGTTCGTCAAAGTTTCAGTTCAACTTCATACCTAATAGATAAAATTGTAGGAGCTGCAAAAGCGACAGAAATCATATACTAGCCAGCCTAATATTCATCCATCAACTATTAGTCGCATTTCTGGACCGATTCAGACCAAACCTTGCACGATAACATTCTCTTTCCATACTATATGTGTCATCGCGCCATTTCTTCATGGCGTCATCACCACCTTAGATTTATGGCTATGAAGCAAAGTGAAAACAATCGTAATTCTGCATTCATAGGTACCGATAAGAGTGGACATCATACAACGTCACACATTTTTACTCCACTCAGTCAAGAGGTGACTCAGTTAATTGCATGCTAAATCATCTAGATAAAACAATAAGTCAGTTATCAATTACTGCTCACATCAAGTCGAGGAGTTCGCGCCTACAATAGACAGGAAAGTTTGAAAAAACAAAATATTTGACGGAAGGGTGTTGGCCAACCCAGGATGAGGACGACTAACACAGTATTTGTGTGCAATGACACATAAGATCACAAGAGATGACTTACACCTTGGTGCAAGTTGGGTTTCGCAGGCCACTTTTCCCTATTGATTTTAGCATACACTGTATTGGGCTTCCGAGAATTGGTGCAGGAATAAAGTGGCATATCGATACGAAAATCCTATAACTCTCTATCGCTTCACCAATTAGATGGATTCCTGCAAATTTTGAGCAGAGCAGCCGGGAGTTGGCATGGATGGAAGAGTGAATGGGCGTTTCAGATAATCGCCGAGGGTAGGCGGTCATGCGCTTTATGGGCGGGCGGGCACCGGAAAAATAGTTCGCTGATTTCTTGCGGTCGGCTTGCAGGTATTTGGAAGAGTTCTAGCGAAATTTTAGACGAATGCTTGGAGAACAATCGCGGCCTTATAAATTAGCTGCGGCGCAGTAGCCGCATTCTCGCGGACTTTCCGCGAGAATATGCAAAATTTTTGAGGGCCGCACTGTCCTTTGTGGAGGACCGCGCAGTCCCCAGGCACTTTTCGCTGAGAGAAAGTACCTCAAACTTGAGTAATTAGACCAATGATGACACCTCTGCCACACAGAGTCATACCTGTGCTCGACGTAAGCCCGAAACTGCGCAAAAAGAGTCCGAGCGACTTCTTTGCTGACCGCTTGCCCCCGGCGATTATCTGAGATGCGTATCAATCGACAAAGCTTGAGGTAGGATTCTATCTTGAGAAAGATACCACTGCCCGTGTTCGCGATAAAAATCTTCGATGGTTAGACTTGTCATGAGGTAGAAATCTATGGAGTAGCTTCTAAAAATACATTCCAACTTTGAAAGCATTGTTACGCCAGAATTTCAGACTCAGGAATTTTGCCAGTTACAAGCCTTGAAAACCCTCTATAATTCTCTATGGGTTCAAATCCTCACAAAAATGCTACAACGGAAGACTATATTGGTCGAAGTGGTGTTTTCCATATGAAAAATGTGGAACGTTTTATAGCGCAGAACGATGATTTTAAATCTACTTTCCAAATCTGCAAAAGGTTTCAGGAGACTCATGGGAATTTTCTGATGTTAAAATGCAAGGGTTTCGCTAGGATGAAAACAGGCGTTGGTCTGCTGGTGCTTGAAGGATAATGACCGGCGTAAGTTTCTTAAACTCAAGGTATCAAAGGCTCTCCGGGACGAGGGCGCAGAAGTAGTAATAGTTGAGCGGGCGCAGAAGGGCGCGCATATCTTCACTCTTGTAAATCCTGCGGCTGATAAAGCCGGGTTCCAAACAAAGGTATTGCGTCTTCGCCATGCAGTAGCCTAATCAGACTTGTATTAGGCTCCCTGGCAGTAATCATGACTCCATTTACTCTAATCGTCGAGGGCAGGCGGTCCGTAAACTCGCGCTTTTCTGCAGGCGGTAGCAGAATTTTGGGGCGTGGCCAAACCTTCAGCGGGCGGCACTTTCTTTACGATCGCATATTCTGCCAGCGGCTAGAAATAAGCATTTTTTGTGAGCCCTCGACAAATAATTTCTTTCAGCGAGCGCTGGCCAAATTTTCAGCAACGCAGTTTCGAGCGTACGTCGAGCAACGGTGAGAGGTGGGAGAGGTGTCATCGATGGTTTAATTACTCAAGTTTGAGGTACTTTCTCTCAACGGAAAGTACCTGTGACTGCGCGGTCCTCCACAAAGGACCGTGCGGCCCTCAAAAATTTTGCATATTCTCGCGGAAAGTCCGCGAGAATGCGGCTACTGCGCCGCAGTAATCTATAAGGCCGCGATTGTTCTCCAAGCATTCGTCTAAAATTTCGCTAGAACTCTTCAAAATACCTGCAAGCGGACCGCAAGAAATCAGCTAACTAATTTTCCGGTGCCCGCTTGCTAAAAATTCGATGGCCGCTTGCCCCCGGCGATTATCTGAGAGGTGGGAATAGATACGGTGCTGCATTGCTGACCGCTCGTGATGTCATAACTATGCTGGACGTTCAAGTATATTTTTGGTCGGTTGGATTTCCGTCGATTCCTACTGTTTGAGGAATGTTACAGACAGATATATACATGTTAGTGTTTTTGAAAGAGTAAATAAGGAGAGTTGGATGATTAACTATGTCTGAGCAGAAGGTTTTTTAATACGAATAGTAAGAAAGAAGAATAGCCAGATTATATCAGGTATTATATCGGGATAGCCAGTTTTTATCAAGTTTTGAATACTCAAGAACAAGTTAAGATTTACAAAATGTGCGAATGTTAGGAGGAAAGTTGGTTGATTAACTATATTAGCCGGACATGAGATCCTTACATTTTTAGCAATTTGCACGGACATAGAAGTCAAATTGCAGTGATCTGGGCTGAACACAGTTTGACATCCACGCGCGAATGTCTGGAAATTCTGACATGTTTGGCGGTTGAGATTAAGAACAACGGGTTGCACTTGCTGAAGTTTGCCGTGTAGCCACTTGTCTTGTGTATACAAAAGCTGATCATTCGTCTGAGCACTTACGACAGCTTAAAACGAATCTTAGAAAGTCAAGATGGTAATTTTTCAAAAGTTTAGTCATATAGGAACCAGTGGGTCACCTCTGCTTCGCAGAGGCTCGCACTAGCTCTACTATCTAGGCCCTACTCATTCTCAGATAATGATGGCATTGGAACTCAGCACTGCCGACTATCACGAACAAAATGTAAACAACTACTCATTTCGAAAGCTTTTATATGTGAAATTGGTGATTTCGCGTGAATGAGACTTTTTGCATAAGAACAAACGCAAATTTCTATAGGTTTTTGATTTTCCCATGGTTTTGACAGTTGCAATAAGAACAGCAGTCACCGTGAGCTACATCTTTGTGCAAAAATTTCGTCAGATGCTCTGGTAAAACCTTGACAAATTGACCAGTTGCGCAAACAATACTTTTTGGCGCTTTTTTTGTAAAGTACTGGACAATTTATCACTTTTTTGGGCCTAAGCTCATGGCTTGCACATTTACTCAACATAAATATCCACAACCCTACAAAAAGTGGAATTACGGACCCAACTTTGCTCGTCAAATGCAAAGTGGAACCGTTTGACGCGCAGTTTCTGAGGGATCTACTCAACGAATTGGTTAGTGCTTTTGCATGTTGGACTTATAAGCAGGTAGCATGCGCCGTGCAAAATTTGAGCCCAGGGAGTTGGCTGGAACACGCTCTACGAATTTCGTAACAGACACACTCTCAGAGACACACACACACACACAAAGTCACGTAAACATCCTTAGCCCCTTATTATAAGTAATGATAGTTGCCTTGTTACCGGTAGGAAATTTTGATCAATGTGTAGCTGATAGTAGAATTTTGAAATTACCTCCTTACAAAAAACCTAAACTAGATAAAAGCTAATTTTTACGAATATTCGAATTTTTGTGTAACTTGGAATTATTTGTTGAGCAAAATATCTTTAATATACAGACCGAATTTACAAAGATAAACAAATTAGATATCCCCCTGATCTGCGTTAAAATACACAAAGAGGTCCGGCCTTATTTGCCTCAACCGTAGATGGTACTTTGATACACTTTTGTATGCTTTCATCTACACTTTTTTCTCGCCCTCACTGTGTTCCCACTTATCCCACACCCTTTCTCCCTTTCCTGTACCTATTTCTAATGCCGTACCACAAAGTTTACAAACGATTTATAATTTCCATAAAGTGAACCAGAAATTTTGGAGTTA